TTTTTCTTTTTTGCGACTTCTGATTATTGATTTTGTCAGTTATGTCTACGAATCACCTCGTGATGAGATGCATGGTGGTGGTATTTCTGTTTTGCATGTTTTTGCGTAATTTAGATGAAATGCATATTATTGCATGTATTGAATAAAATTAATATTGTTGCATATTTCGATTGCGAGAATGCGAAAAATTGATATTTTTTTAGCATGTTTCGTAATTAATATTTATAATTTAATATTAACGTTTCGTTTTTTTTTTTTTTAATTCTAGACCTGCTGATTAAAGTATAAAACTTGGTTCTTTTTGTCAAACATAATATTTATTTTAAATTTTTTTTTTTTTTTATTTTACTTCTCAATTACATTATATTAAGTTACATTTTTAAAAATGTTTACTTTGTTTTGTGATTGGTAAGTTAACCAATTATTTTCTTATATTTATAGTCAATGAATAAACGATATAAATTTTCAAGATAGGTATATGAATAAATTACATTTATAAATTTAATAGATAATTATGTTGTACGTAAATACATAGCGTTGTTCATTGACTACAAACTGAAAAATTGGTTTTTTTAGAGACTTAAAGTACCGAAAATTTTTTAAATAATTTGCCCTTCATTAGAACTAATATAACAACCCAAAAAAATTAAAAAATAATAAAATAAAAAATCATGCATTGTAGGGTTAAGAAAAAAATCCAACCACTGATGTATTTCAACAAACAAATATTTTTTTTTAACTATATTTTTGTGTTTATCTTATAAAAATCTAAATGCATATTAATGCATATTTTACAATTTTTTATTGCATACGAATCCTAGCCCTGGTTATTATTGTCCCGCCGTGTTGCGCAACGGAAACGAACTGACGATCGCGGTCGTCCCCCCGGGGGCACGGTAAGCGAGTATATTCGAAACGGGTTGATAAACAATTACGTGCCTCGGTCATAAAACGTGTGCTACGGCAAACATCGATTTGGACTGTACGTATTTTTTCGAAACGATTAAGGATACGGTAGATCGGTTTGTTCTGTGTACCGTTCTACGTAGACGCGTACGAGAAAATTTTCCGAATCGTTATCATGATTCCGTTCGAGATCGCAAAACTGCACGGTCGTACGACCGTTTTGTGTTTCTGCGTACCGCGATCCGAATCGTTATCGGACGTCTGACGAGGTTCATCGGTTCGCATAAATCGTACGTCAACTGGGTGTGCAGCTAAGCGGACCTCCGTAAATTATTATTCGTTACATACAAACCGTAAAACGTTGTACGGATAGGGTTCGTGTGCCAAACTTGTATTACATTTCTTCCGTGGATAAAATTATGAAATATAAATAAAAATCTTCCGAAACAAAGACCTTAACGGCTTAAACCCGAAAAGAACAATCGGTTCGATGTAAAATGTACCATCCGTAATGTAACTTTAACGTTTCTTAATTCGGTTGTGCAGAAAAAACTTAAGCTCAGATCAAATCATTTGAGATCAATAAAGATTACTTCGTCGTAGTCTCAAAACATAATTCTAAAATTTCAATCATACGTCGAAACCGAATCCATTAGATAATGCAGTTAAAACAGCAGAAATCAAATTGTCTGCTTCGTTAGCAGAACATACCCGTAATGTGGCATTTTCGTTAATTGACCATTTACATCGGTATAAATAAATAGTAAATTTTTTTATTTAATGAAAATTTTTTTTTTTTTTCGATATAAAATATGTATTTATAATTTAATTTCTTTGTTAAGTTTATGAATTTCTCAATTGTACAAAAATATTAACAACGTTGAACTATTGAGTGTTCCGGGGTACGGGTTAAACTTGCCGGATTGTGTTCAAATTTTATGTACATCATTTTTATCCATATTGGGACTTAATCAGAGTCACAAAAATGTAAGCATTTAAAAAATAACCATAGTGTACCCTATTATAGCGTGTCTTTTCGACGGTTTACGACGCGAATGGTATGAGGATGATAACAGGTAAAGCGTTTTACACTCGGTCGACCGAACTTCAGGTTCGATCATCATCGTTATCTGCGTATTACGCGACGAGGCGGTGTACAACGACGACGATCGATTGATTCGATACGATGCCGACGTATGTCGCGTATTTGAATAAATTGTATTTTTTTGTTGGCCCAACCGACCGTCGTGTGCACAGGAGTGAACACCGTATAGTAACGTCGGTGCGAACACTGTGCCGTCGACGAACCGCTCGCGGAAAACCGATTAGGACGCGCCGGACAACGAGCAGAATGGTTCTCGCGCGTCTCCGGCGGCGTCCGTCGTCCTCGATCACTTTGTGCCGGAGGCCGGGGAGGGGGGGGAGGAGAGGAAGGAGCGAACGCTACACCGACGAAAGATCGAGCGATCATTTATCATAAAAAAAAAAAAAAAGATCGTTTCCCGCGTCTCGTATCCTGTACTAATGTTACGCGCCGTACGCGTACGCACGTCGTTGGCTTTGTTGCGCCGGAAAAACTGGCCGCACACGCGCACAATGCGTACGGCGAAAACATAAGAATATTTTCACAAATAATCAACAGCAGAGGGAGCGAGTGAGAGAAAGGGAAAAAGGGGGAAAAAAAAAACGTGAACCCGAAATAACGGTATAGCAACGCGGTTATACACGCGAACAAGACGCTTGCGACCACGTGAACGCGTGTAATGATGAACAGACTCGGTCTCGGTCTTGCAATTGTTTTGTTAAACGTTCCCAGAAAAACACATTTAATGTAGGTCGAACGAAATAATTCGTTAGGAACATAATAAACACTATAAACATAAACTGCATCTGACGTGCGACGTTTGTGGAGACGACGGACTACTGAATTATTGAAAACAAGGTAAGAAATAATTGGACACATCATTCACTATGGTCATGTAACGAATGGCAATTTACAGGACACGTGAACGGGGAATCGTTTTAAGCTGCCGAATGCGGCACAAGTGTTGGTATTAATGTTCCTCGATATCACCCGCGCAACTGTCCTGCGAATGTCTATTCCATTTGGAGATGGAACTTGTCCTCCACTCGGACAAAATAGTTCGTTCGTGCATTGTTCATTTAGATGAACCAGTATATCGAACGAGTGAACGATTGGTTATAATGAACGACAGCAGTTCGTTCATCGGTTCTTTCGAGAAATATGTAGCGAACTGATGAACTAGTTCAAATTGATCGCTTGTGCTAAGAGTTTAATTGAACCAAGTGTTTCGCGAACGACGCATTTTTAACGTGCATTATCGTAATAAACTATTGAACCGATATAGTTCACATTTTAGTGAATTATTTATAATCGTTCCCTCGGGTGGATAGTTAAATTGAACTATGTCGTTGCCGAACATCTCTAATCCCATTTCACCGTAATTCCTGTGACTATAATGACCTTTTGGATCGCGTTTTCCGAGAGTGTTATGCCTCCATTCTTCAGTACAAATGCAATGACAATATTAGATCAATTTGCCTGCATAATTAATTTTAAGCAATTTAGATTTATATTGGACCCTGATTCTTTACAGAAATCTTGTACAAGACATTTTTCGATTTCTTTCATAACTAAGGTATCAATATAAGTGTATTATATATATTATATATATTTCTACGTTAGGTTTCGATCGAAATGGACTCCAAGTTATTTAAGATGGTCACAATATTCCAGTTTTACACCGTTCCATTTGTTCATAAGATTTATTTTTGCATCTCGTTTTCTTAGGCGGAATACGCTAACATGAATTTTTGTCGGATTTTTTTTCAGACAGTTAATGTTATAGTACATGGTTAGCTCTTCCACGGTTTTTTTTGAGTGCATTTTCGACTGTTTCAAATGTTAGCCCTTGTGCTGTTAAAGAAAGATCGTCAGAATATTTGAAATGCTTCGTTCTATCACAAATTGGTTGGTCGTTCATATGAACGTTAAATAGCATTGGTGCTAATACACTCCCTTGCAGGTGGTCGTTTCTCTTCCATCTACTTTTATTTCCATTCAGCTAACATAGAATCGTCTATATTTTAGTAACATATCTATTATACAGACAAGTGAGGGATTTTTTATCATTTCATATATCTTTCTACGTAGTATCCCGTGGCTTGCCGTGTATTATGCCGCAGATAATTTGATATAAACACTATCCGTAATGATGTTTCCCTCAAAACTATTCCCTAAGCGTTTTGTCATGTTAAGGACTTAGTTAGTGCATGATTTCCCAGCTCTGAAACCTGCTTGCTCCTGAATAATATTCGTATCGGTTATATTGTGTATTCCATTCATAACTACTCGCTCGATTGGTTTGTATATATGGCATAGGTAGCAGTGATATGAAGCGGTAGCTTTTTGCTTCGTCTGGTTTCTTATCGGGTTTCAGTTGTGCTATTACATGTGCTTGACTCAATGGTTCTGATATTTTTTCGAGGCGTAAACAGTTGTTGTAATAAATAATAACAATATATTAACAAAAATATTTATTGAAAAACGATTATACACAATAAATATAGATGTTGTAGTTAACGGTTTGAAATTGAATCAATCCACCTTAAATAATTATGTATATAAAAGGAAACAAAGAAATGAGCTTAAACTCAATTGGAAAAAAAAACAAAAAAAATTATAAAAAGTTTTACGATTCTCTAAAAAAAAATGTGATCATTATAGGTCAGTCAGGCATTAAAACCACATATTCCTATAAAAATAGCGAAAATTATTTTCGTTTTTACTAATGAATACATAAAAAAGTTCATTGAACATATGGTATAAAAGGATTAAATATTTGCATTTGACTTATTGCTCTTTTTCGAAGCCCAATTCTGTGTTTCTAATAATGTTCGGATTTTCATCATGCTATTTCTATTATTCTATTAGATATTTCTTTTTATGTTTATATTAATTTTCTCTTCTAAAAAATATTAAATTAACTTAGTTTTTCTCTTACGTGTATATGATATTCCCGTAAAAGTGAAATATTACTTATTGTTTTTCTTTCAGTTATTCATGTCTTGCACTTGTTTAATTTGGTAAACAAGGAGTAATTTTCTTCAAAAATATATCAAGTGGTAAACAATACGTTTTATTAGTTACTGGTTTTCGACATAGTGGACATCTGTTAACATTCTCGGTCCATGTTTCAATACATCGAAAACAAAACATGTGCGTACAGTTCAGAACAGTTGGCTATAGAAAAAAAAAAGTTATTTTATAAATCTGTTATAGTTTAATGAATGTGATTTAATTAATCTGTATAATAATTGATTTGTTTAAGTTGTACAGTAAATATTTTATTGCTATACTTAAAACATAAGAAATTAGCTCAGAAATGCATTTTAGTAGGTACTAACTAAAATATGTGTGATAAAATTCTTACATGAAATTAAAAATGTGTAATTTATCACAAAATTAATCTTTTTGTAGAGACCAATTATTGAGGAACACATATTAGTAAATTTTACTATTAAAAATGAAACAAATCAATACATTCACGCATTACTTAAAAATTAAGCTAAGTTTTTATGGTAAATTTTTATTTATTCATTTTATGGTAAAAATTCTAAGACACTAATAATTTTTTTGAAGATTAATAAATTAATTAATAATTAATAATAATTAAAAAATTACTTTAGTAAAAATGTCGAAACATATATTACACCGCAGTTCTGAATCAACATTTTTTATAATTTCATCAAATTGTTTTTTGTACGTAAAATCATTTTTTTCACTGTTTTCATCAGCCAATTTTCGATGAAATGCGCTCTGCATATTATCTTCATCTAATGAATGTCCAGTTTCTGCCAGTAGAATGTCTCCAGAATTTGTATCTTTAAACAAAAGTAGAATTTATAATTTAACATAAACAGATATTCTTAAAAAAAAAAAAAAAAACAAATAAACTTACCAATTGAGTTACTCAAATGTTGCGATCCTGTATCATTTTGCGATCTACGGAAAATATCATTAAAACAGCATGATAACTAAACAATTAGAAATATAAGACTATACCTCAATTCAGTCAAACCAGGGAATGGTGGACGTCTTGGTCTGGTTCTTGGTGAACTGTTAATTGGAGAACGCATTCGAAATGTAGAAAAATCCATTGTAATGTAAGATGCAGTCTCTTCATCATCTACAGAACGATAAATGGCAATTAAATCAGAACTTTTAATACAAAAATACAAAATGAATTAAAGGCACAAATGTATATGTATATAATTGTAGACAATTTACCAATGTAGACATTTTTTTGGAAACTATAAAAAATTGAAAAGAATTAATCTAGTAAAAATAATTTGGAATAATATGGGTCAAGTACAATAATATTCTATAAAGTTTGACGGAAAAATGTAAAAACAGCAATCATACCTGATCGAGGAACAAATGGAGCAAATGGAGGACGTCTCGGTCTAGTTCTCGGCTCACTGCTGGCCGGAGAACTTGTTAAATTAATTTGTGTTGGAGTTAATTCTATTCTATTGATAGGATCAGGAAGAGTCTCTTCAACATCTGTAAAACGAAAAACAATATTCAAATTAGAATTTTCAAGACAAACGAACTATATGTGTTTATCATTTTTTTAATTTTTATAACTAATACATTTTACTACGACAGGTTAAAAAAAATTATTTAGTTTCATGCGAGAAAAAATCATAGGGAATATATTATGTCAAGTGTAATGGTTGTATTCTACATGGATCGATGTAACAATTTAATCGGACCTAATCGAGGAATTCGTATAAACGGTGGACGTCTCGGTCTAGTTCTTGATGATCTTGATAAATTCATTTGAACCGAAGTAAAGTCCACTACAGGAACAGTTGCAGAATGAGTATCTTCATCATCTGTAAAACGGTATATGTTAGTTAAATAAGAATTTAAATGCAAAATGAACAATAGATATTTCAATTTTTCTTTCTTAATCGACGTATAACTGTTTTTAATAACTACATAATACAAAATAAAGATTAATCTTTATAAGTTATAGGAAATGTTTAACAATGGTCGATGTAAAATTAGCACTCGGACCTAATCGGACATTTGGTGGACGTCTTAGTCTAATTCTCTGTGCATTGTTTGTCAGTGAAACTGATGGTTGTACTGGGACTGAAGCTGACTCCATCCCAGTAACCGGTCCAGGGCGGGTGATTTCATCATCTGCAAAACGATGAATGATATCTAATTTAGAGTTTTCGATCAAATATATACTTATGCTCATATTTGGAAAAGAAGAATTATAATGTAATACCACGTGAAAACCATTGGCAGTATATGCCATGTAATAAGAACATTTAGTACTACAATGCGATACTTACGATTCCGAGTTGGATTGTTCAGTTCGTGGGAGTTCCGGCATCGATCGCCAAAACTGCACGATCCCCTCAAATAATACGCACAGATCGAATGCATGTTTGGATCCTAGCGTATAAAGTAAGGATAATCAAGGCAATATCAATGTGCAGTTGGTTGCAGGATATATGAGAACGTTGACGCGCACTGAGTCGACAAAGTTTATTTTTCGTTTTGTATAAAAATCAAAATTGATTTTTAGCGTAAAGGTACGGTAGTATGATGAGATGACAGTCAATAGATGAAAGTATCAAACATGTTGTCATTGAGTTACAGTTACTATGGTTGCCTGTTTCTAAAACTATTATTCCTTTATACTATTTGCTTGTATATTAAGCCGTGCGTTATTAATTATTATTGTTTGAAAACGAATAAAAGAAAATATCGTATATTAAGTCTCTTTACACTTTTTATTTTCGTACTATACAATTCTAAATTTTAGCTTCTACGAAGTGTGTTGCATTACATATGGCTGACGTGTTTAGGATTTTTTACTGTTGTTGGTTGAGGAGATGTTACATAATTACTTATTAACTTTCGAAATAAAATGTACGTTATTTTAGTTGTTTAACATAGTTTGCAGTCAAGATAATCAAATTAAGGATAAAATACAATACAAAAACAATTAAATGACACTGAATTATTTTTTTGTCGTCATTCGTAGCTTATACATTAATAATATTCATGTAGTCACCGATCACATTAATTATATTTTGTATTGTAAAAATAAAAATTAAAAATCATTTGTCTTATATACCGCAGATAATTTGGTAAACGTAGCATTACGGTCAGTGCCGTTCTGAAGGCAGGGCAAATGGGGCATTCACCCAGGGACTCGTGCCTCCAAAGGCCTCGCGTTTATACAATAATATGTATATATACAACATACCATGTATAAATAGATTTTAGATACATGGATTGAGAACCGTTATTCTGGTGTACCTATGAATTTCGATATAATAATTTAGGGCTTCGAATTCTAATGATGCCCAGGGCCTCACAGAACCTAGAAACGGTACTGATTACGGTACCTATTCAAACATGTGCCGGTAATTTTGAATAATACCTATAGATAGGAAAATATTCATCAAAAAATCTTCAAAATTGAACTTAAATCGTCGAATATAAATATCAAATGATCGGTTTTCAATTTACTGTTTAGAATTTATCTAAACTTGTTCTCAAAAGTAACAATCACTCTTAACATTGGCAGAGACATGTAGAGTCATACAAAATAGAAAAAAAAACACAGTTTAATACGCCTTCGTTACCGATTGAGTTTCTATTCAAAATTATTTTTCTAAAATGTTGGGTAAGTTTTGTTATTAATTTAGCTTATTTATTACTATTTTTTCTATATATTTTTTCATTGTAAATACCTCATTTATTTTGTATATTTTTTTTACTATTTTATTATCATATTACCTATTCATTAACTATTTTTAAATGGTATAATGGATGAATGGATGTTAGGTTCTAAACTTAGATGATTTGAATCACTATTTTTTAAAGATCCCGTAGTTGCTGATTCGATCAAATCATCAAATCATCAAGCATTTCATGGAAAATGAACTGAAACAAAAGGTATAAATCATGATATACTCTATTTACGATTTTCGCGATATACTTGTATGTTATCACAACACCAATGATTAGGTTTTTCATTTGTAGACTGTTTACGAAACAAACATGTAGTTGTAAAACGGCCCATGTGTTTTTGAAATTTTAGATTGAAAAGCTATATTCCTCAAAATGTTTGATCTGAACTGTATTATCAGTTTGCTGTGTCATGCTTTAGCGAGAATAACTTAAAAAAATCAAAAAAAAATCTAAGATATTTATAACTCAAATTATTGAAAAGAATAGGAATATTAATGTCTGTCGTAATTTATGCAATATAGTAGCTGAATATTATTCTGACTATTGATATTTTTATACCTGCATTGCACAACAATCCATCTAGCTCATGAGATATAACAATTAAAAGTGTTTAAATAACGATAAAAACAAATCGTTGTAACACAAAGTCTCTAACCATATTAAGTGTGGACGTCTACATGGTTTACAAACAGTAATTAGCTCATTGAGAACATTTTAACTGTACATCATGTGATTACGTTATACGACTATTATTGGTAATTTTACGGGTAACGGACAGATGATATAAAAAAAAAAGTACCAAGAAAAAAAGCATCCGGAAAAAAATTACTAAAAAAAAGTATCCGAGGAAAAAAACGTATTACATTATAAAAATAAATAATAAAATAATAATATGTAAATGTTAATGATAAGAAATTAGTAAAAAAATCGTTTTCTTATTTTATTTTAATTATTATTTGATAAAAATGCTTGCAATATAATTTCATTTTTATTTAAACGATCACACAATGATTTTAATTGGCATTGCATTCAATCATATATTTATTTATTTTTTTACCTGCTTGTTCGTCAATTTCACATTAATCGTGTTTTATCTGTGCTAACCTCCTGTGCCAATAAATAATTTTGATTTATTTCCGTTTATATCAAGGAAAAAATATAATTTAAACTAGTTTTTATTTGTAACACTTACCACCAAATATTGTTTTGATTTTTTTCTCTTTCTTACGTAATCTATAAGCAATCAGATACTTATTTTTTTCGGGTACCTTTTATCTTAGGTACTTTTTTCTCCGGTTACTCTTTTTCCGAGTCCTTTTTTTTTTTTGGTACTTTTTTCCGGATATTGGACCGATTCACGGCATGCGCACAAAATGTTATGCCAAGGATAATTTAATCATTCAACCGGGTTTTTTCACCACTGCGAAATGAGATGGCGATCGCTAACGAATGCAACCATACACATTTCGATGATCGAACGTTTGCGCCGTGCCTTGCCTACCCTTGTCCTACGTTCCGGAATGTACAATGTGCTATCGATACGAAGCGCCGGTTCCGCAATATTACCCGCACAGCCGATGCTCGTGAAATTGGTCCGTCCGATACAGTAATTTTTTTTTTTAATCTTTACAATTATTTTGCAAGTTTTTCGCAAGTATTTGCAAGTCAATTTTAAGGATTTACAAGTACAAACTTTCGCCGTGAAACCAAACAATTAAAAGTTGGGCAAACTTCACGTAGCCCATCCGTTTCGAAATAGAACTTTGAAATCAACACCAAACGAATGTTAATGATTAGCAAGAATTCGCAAATTACTCAGGTGGCCGTATATGATCGTGAACTTGTGCAGTTGAACCCACTCTATAAATAAATAAAATTAATAATACCATCATTTGTAGTTCAAATTATGTTAAATCGAAATCTTCGTCGTTCACTAAATACACAGGTAATCATCGTTATAAACCAGATATTCACGTTAATAAACAAATACGCAGGCAATTGTTGTTTTAGACCATATATGCACGGGAATCTGAAATATTAAAATTTGAAAAAATGATGAAGGTACATTCAAATAAATGCAAATACTCCGTAAACATTTTCCGTACAGTATTTGTCAACCATAACGATTAAAACGATTTTTATTTTAGATCGGAGTTCAAATATTCAAAAACTAATGAAAATTTAAATTTTATAAATATCTACTACTTGATTCAACGTTTAAGATCTTTTGAACAACGGACATTGAATATTTATGAAATATTAAAATTTTTTTTTTAAATATTTATTAAAAATCGAATAAATACATATGTGCTGTGCGGGTAGGCGACCCATCGTTTGGCGACCGCCAACAATGTCAAATCAATCAGTCCGTTTCGACTTATTCGTACGAATAACGGTCGAAAGCATTAACCGTTTGCCTGACAGGTCGCAGGGGTGTAGATGTTATACTTACGGTGACATCGCATTGTTGCTGAGCCCAGACAGTTCCAGGTTGTGAATAATATACCTGCTGTCCGCAGCTAATGCGGTTTTCTACACGTTATGCTAATAATAATATGTGTGTAAAAAAGAACAAGTGTTTAATTTTTTTTCTAAAATTTATCATTTTCTTTTCTTTTTTTTTTTATATATTTTTTCTTTATTATAACACAAACAAAAACAGATAAATTTTAATAGTAATAAAAAATAATAAATACAATGATAATAAATATAATTATCCATATATATATATATATGCACATGAATTTAGATGTATATATGTGTGTACATATACATAATTATATTTTACTTGAACGTAAATATATATATAGATGCATAAATAAATGTATGTCACAATTTACTCGTCTAGAAGTTGACGTAAATTATGTAAAAATACGAAAAAAAATAAAAACAAAAACAATCAATGTACTCTGTCTATATATATATATATATATATATATATATATATATATATATTATGTAAACATATATAATCTGTTGGAGGGGATATAAAACCATAGAAATAAAACATACGTTAACTAAGTATGTAAACGCGTACATGGAATTATGTAGTATATATTATTATTATTATTAATGAAAAACGATGTATGAAAAATGAAATTTTTTTTGTATTCTTAGTTTTTTTATTTTTACAAGATAAAATCTACACGCGTCATGTTATACAGCATAAAAAACGGATTGTCGAAAAAGTAACAATAACAAATATTATCAACAAAAAAAATTCGACAACACATTTTGAATATATCTAGAAAAAAAAAAATTATAATAGTTTGTTCTAAAAGGAAATACCTAAAACAATTAGGTTTAATAATGAATCACATTGGAAAAAAATAGTAATATACCCGTTCCACTTCCGTTTTATACAATATTTAGTTGATAACACTATTTATTTTTTTTTTTTATAATATTAATTACTTAAAATTAAATACTTTACAGTTTTTTTTCTTTTAATTTAATGAAGTAACAAAAAAAAAAAAAAATTACAACCGGAAACTTACGGTTAGTAATAAGGCAACTTTGATTATAATTTATTAGTTTACATTTACATTAGTGTTTACAGATATTATATTAAATATTTTCATTACTTTTACTTTATATATGTATTATATATTTTTTTTAATGGCCAAAGACAAAGTGTGGTTTTAAGGAAGCTTGGAAATGATATCGGCAAGCATAAATATAATATTAATACGTTTGTAAAAAAAGGAGATGAGTAAGAGATAGATCGATAGAGAGAGAGAGAGAGAGAGAGAGAGAGAGAGAGAGAGAGTGAGAGAGTAAGAAAGGGACAGGCATACCGATAGACAAAGAGGACGGGAGGAACTTATTATATACGAAAAATATACTTAAAACAGGAAATGATTAAAATTGCAAATTATTTAATTTGTTCCATGGAAATAATAAATTGCAACTCCCGGGTGAAATATGAATCATCCGATAGAATTAAATACTTCGATTTGATTTTTGAAAATCACATTTCATATTGTTATTAGATATATTATACACAGGCTTGTCGTTTTATCACAGAATTTTTATCTTAGTAATGCTTGCAGTCGTCACATCGTTATAAGTTTATTATATTGTTTTCGTTCAAATAGCAATCGAAAAAGAATAATTGTTTTCACGATAAATTGAACAAAGAAAAAAATTGCAAGAATTTGTCAGTTTAAAACACAATATAATATATTACTAATAAATTTTAACGATAAAATCACCTAAAATTATGATTTTAATACGATGCTTCATATAATAATAATAATAATAATAATAATAATAGTTACATTCAAATTGTATTGGCAGTTTGAAAACAAAAACACGTCGTCGGTGGGACGACGGAAAAAAAAAAAAATTAAATTAAAATTAACATTATTTTATGGTCCCGTGTGAAACAAAATGTATTATCTACTAGCAAAAAATTATTCTATCACTTAAATATTATTAGAATATGTGAGACATTTTTTTTCAAATTTTTTTTTCTTCAAACATTTATTATAAAATGAAACGAAATCTACACTATGTACAAACTCGTTTTATTTACAAACAAAAAGAGAAATCTAGATGTAGGTGTTATGGATAGAGCTTAGATACATAGAGTTATAGAGAGAGAGAGAGAAAAAGATAAGGAGAAAATATATACTTACACACATTATATACATATAAATGTACTCGTCGTTATAAATTGATACACGGTCACACATGTGGGTCGAAATTATAAATAAATAAAAAGCATGGAAATGGTTTTTTAGTAGTAGAAAGCCAATAATACACTTGAAGTAGGCTTGACGAGTTCAAATACATGCACGCTGAAAACCCAATGGCATGGCGTGCATACATAGACTTACATGTCGTATGTTGTTATGTTTGTGTGCGCGTGTGTGTTGGAGTTGTTAAGAAATAGGAAAATTGAACGTAACGGTATTTAGGTTAAAACGAGAGACAATAAGGTAGCATCACATTATATGAGAGTATATATGGTTTATAAAACCTACGTTTCCGAAACCGCTCGAGGTTAAACGATTTTTTGAAAATAAAAAATATCATTTACGATAACGAATAACAGAATATTATTACAACATAGTTGTTTGCACAAAACGCAAAATCACATTGGTTGTATCATGTTTTAGTATAATATAATCGCACCAAAAGTACAAAACGGAAATGACACACCGACCTATGTTGATAAATGTACAAATATTTTAATATATCACTATCGAAATGGATTGTAATGCGTTAAGAGGCTCGCAACGAATAAGCTTTGTGTGTCTGCGAAACGTTTAAAAATATTGATGGCGTTATGAAGAACAGCGAGAAAAGGAGATTAGCATTAACGAGTGCGTCGTTTGTACTTTTGGGCAAAGCGAAATTCGGATTAAGATGTACGTACAGAAATCCGATGTTTCAAACAGTTCGGAAATAATCCAGCCTTAATTGTAGTAATAATAATAATAATAATAATAATAATAATAATAGTAAACAACCGTGTATAATATTATGTAATAAATATACGTAAATAATAAATTATTATCACTTGATGTTACCATCGTAAGTTTTCAATGTTATTCGCGTTTACGTGTCTGTCCGAACGGGTGAAAATGTAGACTAAAAATTTACCGAAACTAAAACGATTGGACGGGAAAAAGAAACAACGGACATCCCCTCATCGGTGTTCACCAAAAATAACATGTCTCGTCGTGTTCATTTTAAATCTCTGAGAAATCAACGGCAACCAAGAAAATATTACTGTAATGGTAATAATAATAATAAGCAAAGTTTACGATAAATATACATTAATTTGTTTATTATTGATCATGGTAATATGTATTTCTAAAAAAAAAAAAAATGATTTAGCGGAAGTTCAATTTAAAATATATTTTTTCATTAGCGTGTGTAGTACACATACAGCCATATAGCTACAGCTATACGAGGTGGATAGTAAAGAAGGTACAATCACAGACAATTGAATCACAAAAAAAAAGAGGTGTAGCGAGTGCCTCCTCTTGATTATAGTTTCGCGAGAAAAATTAATTCTAGAAATATTGATATAATCGTATGATTTATTATTATTATTTTAAAATTATTAGAAAAGAACAATGTCGCGACCGTAATTGTTCGAAAACGCGTTCTACGTTGCGCTAAAAAACAATGTTGAAATCATATTATTAGTATTAACAGGTAGTATTATTATCGATAGACGTATATATTACGTTTATATTATTGAGCGAAGTAAATGATTTGAATGCGTTCGAGATGTAAAAACGTTGAATTCAAAACGAATTACGGTTTCGAGTGTCCAAGAAAGATACCAAACATATTTATAATAATTATTCATAGTGACAACCAATGGCAAACGTTTTGGTCGTGAACAGAGTCGAATTTTGTTAGAAAAAAATAAAATAATAACGAACAAACGAATAAAAAATAGAATTTAGATCTAAGTGTTATTTTTCAAAAATATATATAATATAATATACCAAAACGTTCCGTTTAAAACTTAATAATAATAATAACGTATATATACGACAATAAAAGCAACGATTTAGTTATTGAAAATCGCACGCGATTCGATAATTATTATTTACAACGTTTAAAATTTTCAAAACGTTCGGCCGGTTAAGCCCGTACATCAGGTTTAGATCATGGTGTACAACATACATATATATATTATGATGATTCGATAATCTTGCGTGTGCGTGTGTACTCGAGTGAAGAGCAGATCGATGAGATGCATTTTATATTACAAGACAAGCGTGTGTATGCGAACGACGACGGGTGACGGTGAAATTGTGTAGGAGACGGTTGGTAACGATAGGTGAATGGAAGGGAACGTCCGGGCCATAAAAAAAAATGAATACTTGTACATA